CGGCTAAAACAAAGGGAATTGAATATGCAGCTCGGGTAAGCAGACGGTAGTATTTCGTCGCTTGGCGTAAGAACTACAACGTCTGTGAGCAGGCTAACTCACTGTAAGGTAGTTTGCAATCTACGAGGCTAAGCCATGCAAACCAGTTTATGTTAAAAAGACGTTTATTATTTATTAGAATATAGACAACAGAAATACGTGATATTAGACGCATCCAGAGTAACCATTGTCCTCTTTTAGGGTTTTAATTGCTTGGAAAATATGCCATTTTTTCATCCTACTGAAGAACCTGGCAGCGAAGGAGAGAAAACAGCCTCGTTGGAGTTATTCATCGTGGAAAAACGTTCAAACGATAGCGATAAATTGTCGTTTGAGGTATAAAAGTTCTTACAAGCTATAGATCAGTTCTTCAATTCAAGTCCACGAAAGTCTCACTGCGAGTCCGAAAAAGGATGAAGTTGATTTATCCAGTATAGTTATGAAAACTGGAGTTTAAATGAAATGAATAAAACAACAATTAAAGACAGTTGATATGCATAGTGTCGGTAGTAATGTTGTGAATATAAGTCATATGGAGATTAAATATATTTGACAAAAGTACTAAACCTTTCCGTGTATTTTACGTTTTACAGAAATTTTCATTTCGAAGTTGTGATACGACTGTTGTTGTAAAAGAGACGCTGTTTTTTGCCATCTTAAAAGACTTTCACTTTCACAAGAAAGTGGCGCATGTATTCTTTGAAAGGTAGATATTGCAGATATTTTGTCAGGGAGCTACTATTGACACCTAACACGGAAGATATTTTAACAACATTCTGAACACTTAAGCCCCAGTTACACGATACTGAATTCACTTAGTACGACTTGCAGCTCGGGAATAATGTCCTTCCATAACATTTCCTCTTTGACAATTTTCGCCTAATTTTGTCATATGTCTTGAAACGGTTAAATTCGATGTTGTGACAAGCGAATCCAGTATTGTGTCACACGCCTATATATTTTCGCAAGAATGGAAATTAACCTAAAAAGTCGACCGCTAAAAGTAGATCGCCAAAAGTTGATCGCGCGACATTTTGCACCGAATGAAAATCCGCTTTTAGTCAGGGTGCGATGAATAACGTACTTACGTACCGGAGGTATGCCTATATTACGATCTGGCACTTCTTTTCCAACCGAGTACCGCGTAGATACGCATTACTCTGGCTATCTGCGTACTTACTTTTTGCCGGTACCATGCATATATGACTTTTCCAAGGCACAATCTTAACCGTAATTAACTCAGTATATTGTGTACGTCTGGCCTGTCTTAGCATGAAACATGGTTGGACTGGTGGGAATAAAGTATGTTGGAGACGATTGTAGTATCTGTACAGTATGTGCAATTATATGCTCTTTGCTCTAACTCCTAGTTTCAGGTTACCGAATGAATACCTTCCGAAACATGTACTTTATGTACTTCATTCATAAGATTAAGTACACCTTCAGTCGTAAGTTTGCCAGCTCAAGTACGCGGCAAAAACCATTGGAGTACCAGTCAGGTACGAATAGAAATCTTAAATTATCTGTACACGCGGGATGTTTTGCATGTGTATACACTAGGCTTACATTATAAAGAACGAGTCACAAACACTGATCATTTTTGTATTAGGTAGTCAGTAAATGCCACTAACAAAGCATCGTCATGTTAACTTCATAGTTACAACATTATAATGCTCGTGTAATTTCTTGTTTTTCAGTCATGAAGAGGAAAGTGCAGATATATCCAGTCCATCTTCAAAACGATTTTACTTCGAGCATATTGAGCTGCAAGCTGTTAAAGTGATTTTAACCTTGCTACCAGCTATTGATCTGCCTGATGACCTGAAAGTGATTAAATACAGTTTAGGAATTCCTCGTCAATTGCCTCCAATGACATTCGAAAATGCTTGCTTATATTTTGGTAAGTTAGATACATGCTGCCATATTACTATAACAGTATTCAAAATAACGGGGTTCAGGGGTCAACTCCTTAACCCAAATTGACTATTTTACTCCAAAAATCTCCACAGATAAGGTTTATGCCCCCTCTCATTATCCCTGAGTGGTCTTGCTGTATCCTCCTAGTTCTAGCACCGTTGGGGCGAAACTATATGACCAGATAATTTAAAACCGAACATTTCGCACAAAAATACGTATGCGGAGTAAATGGTATGATAGCAGACTGTATCACTGCAAAACAATTTGACTCAAAGACTTACGTGAAATAATGCACCCACAGTGACTCAAATTTATGAGCAAATTTACTTATTTTTTGCGTGAAGTAAACCTTTTCCCTTTACTAAAAAAATTGATTTTACTCAAAATTTTGAATGACTATGGATGATTTAGACAGAATTATGTTAAGTTTTTAAGTAAAAATATTCAGGGATTTTTTTCAGTGTAGGAAAGAAAGAATAAAATTCGTGCAATTTTATAAAGGTTTTAGAACACCTAAAACAGTTCAGAATAATATTATATGCTACATCCGACTTAACCGACTACTCCGGCTATTAACGGTCATTTAGTCTACCGTATTGAGGTGGATAACTGTGGATTAAACATTCATGGATATTTCATTCCAGACGCATTCGCACGCAACAATATCCAGTATGATTCATATAAAGACATTTCATATGATGTCATGAAACATTACTCAAAGGTAAGATCGGCATGATTTGATAATTATATATCACGTGGCTTTGTCTCTATAGAAGAACATGAAATTAAACAGATTATTAACCAACCCGAGCGTCTGTAATACTCTATGTTGATTTTGACTTGTACTCGTTGATGTGAACGACATTATTTAAACATTACTGTTACGTGAATTTGGCAATGGTAATATTCACTGCAAAAAATGAAATACTTGGCAAGATTTTTTCCTAATTTAAGATAATTATTCTTATATCAAGATTATATTTCTTGTTTTAAGAATAGTTATCTTGATTTTAGAAATTATTTCTACGTTGAGAAACATGTAAGATTAGTTTTTCTTAAATGAAGATATTATTTCTTGACGCAAGGCTTTGTTTCTTGTTTCAAGATTTAAAACTTAATTTCAAGAAAATTTAACTTGGTATAAAGTGGTTAGAAAGGTTATATCATTACCTGAAAATTATTTATCTTGTCTTTAGAAAAATAATCTTAGGTTTGAGACAAATTATCTTTTAAGTTCAAGCAAGTGTATATAAGTTTTCTTGTTTCGAAATTTATATTTATCTTGGTAAGATTAATACTAATCTTGCTAAGATTTTTAGTAAGATTCGTTCCATTTTTGTAAGATTATTTTTCTTTTATCAAGAATAATTTTCTAGGCAAGAAATATTTTCCTATATATGGGACAAAAAGAAAAATTATCTTAAATCAATTTTCTTGGTAAGATTAAATTTCTCAAATCAAGAAAATTTTTCTCGATCAAGAAAATCTTATCTAGAAAAATTTTCCTATGTATGGGACAAGATAATGTTGCTTAAATTAAGAAATTTTTGCTCAAAACAAGTTGTTTTTTTCTTAAAATAAGCTTTTCATTTTTTGCAGTGTTTATTAGGTCTAGGTGCATGTTAACATAAGCAGCAAAATAATAAGTTATTGAACGATCTGTGCCAATGTACGTAGTGTCAATAATAAGAAAGCTTTGGATTGATAGGGATGCAAATACCTGAAAAATACAAGGAGAACTTCGGCGTTTCGAACAAATGCATGCACTTCGTCAGCTAATAAGTTCAACGAGTTCCAAGATAGACTTGGTCTATGTCCCTTTTTCTTTGATCTGTTATAGTGGAAGACGCGTCAGTCATTCATTTTGCACTATAGTAGATCAGAGAATTAGGACCAATCATTGAGTAGCAGCATTTCTTCGACTTAATGGAATAAAGCAACAGGTGCAACCTGATTTTTAACTCTACTCCCCTTCCACCCTTACATATACTGTAAGTAAGATGCTGTTATTTAAGAATAATTAGAGTTCTTAAAACCCACATTTCACTGAATATTAAATTTAACCACATTCACGAACACTAATTTTTAAAATATATTAACATTTGTTGCCTGTTTACACAAAAACTTGCGTACATGTTATTTAAAATTTGTGGTTTTGATCGATATCTTGTCTGACGTACTCTTTCAACACAGTTTTAATTGCAACAGAAAATAAAAGACCTAAGTTAAAATATTAAAAACCCTACTATATATACAAATAACAATTGATCCAGTTCTGGATTAATTTCGCTGTTACCACAGCATCTTCAGTAATACGCCATATTGTTTTCATCCAAGAAATTTGTATGTCACCTATTCCGAGTTCTTGGTTCGATGCATCTGCTTGGTAACACCTCTCGTCTTTATCAAGATATAGTGTCTGCATCTACCAAGTTTTGTGAAAGAGGAGAATCTATAACTTTCGTTTATGAAGTTACTACTGCTCTGGCTAGTTCATGTAGCAAGGTAGGCAACAAGCACTTCTTAGGCTTTTCATGTACATGCAGACTGCTTCAACTAATTATCGTACTAACAGCATCGATACAGGGAAGGCCGGGTCGAGTCGGGCGGTTTCCTGCGTAGAGCATATAGCATGCAGTGACTGCTTCTGTGAGGCAGTGATCACCATATACAGGGTGCGACAATTCAAAATCTTTGCTCGTACCTGACTGGTCCTCCAATGATTATTACCATCCATCTCATCTTATCAGTCCAGTCATGTTTAATGCCCATTGCCCAGTCATGCCAGACTTGCATATATTACGACTAAATTATGGTTTTGAATAAAGTGGGCTTGGACTATTTATTAGACCTAGAATGCGTGCTTGGTCACGTGATTGGTGTCCAAATTGAAAACAGAAATGTCCTTATAAATCTGCCATGTTGAATTTGAGCATAGGAGTGCAAACTAAAAAGTCAGTAAACAAAGCTAAAACTAAGTTTTCATCGTCAAAAGGTTTCGTCTTGCTGTCTAATTTGTAGTTTGGGGATATATTTTGAAATATTAAGTTCTTTAAAGGCTCGAAGCAAATGACTGTGCAGTTACTGACAATAACGGTGAAAATCGTGCAGCCTTGTAAAAACAAAGTAGTTTCGCGTATTAAAATATAATTTACTCATTAAACATTTTTGCCTGCTCTGAATGTAACTGCTTTGCTAATATTTTATTAAATTACGAAATGATAGTTCATTGTTCATCGGGTTTTGTTTTTCTTCAATCTAAACGATATGTTTTCATGTTTTGAAACAAAAATATTTAGTTGTCGATAAACTGTAAATCGCCTAAATAATCATTGAAAACTATGATCAAAAGCGTTGCCTCAAGCTCAAGCAACGTAAAAAAATATAAAAAAAGTAGTTCTGTAAGTTTAAAAAGATTACTAAACTTCGATCATTTATATTATAAAACAGCTCAATTATTTTCAGAATATACCTTAGTATTGAGTTTGTCTTGATCTTTCGTGTTTTGTTTTGGCTTGCACAACAATGCTGAAAATGATATGTTTGTGATGTTACTCTGAGTGCATATCCACACCGGGCGAGCTTGAAAAATATGCCCGGCCACGGTGGGAATCGAACCTACGACCTTTGGAATACTAGCCCAATGCTCTGCCAACTGAGCTACGTGGTCAGGTCGGTTCGATTAAGTGATATTTCGCGGAACAGAATCTAGTTCCTTCGATACCAATGTAATCTTGTAATATGATTTTTTTCTGTGCTGGTGTTGTGTACTCAAGTGAATATGATATGTTTGTGATGTTACTCTGAGTGTATATCCACACCGGGCGAGCTCTCAGAAGTCTGAGACTAGCCAAGATGCCCTTATAAATCCGCCATTTTGTGGAGACAAAATTTTTACTGAGAAAAGATAGGAGCACGCATTCTATGTCTATTATTTCTATGGCTTGGACAGATCAAGTGGTACAAGCAAAAAGTAAAGTACGAAGATTAGAAGAGTATCGCGTACCTACCTGGTACGTAGGTGACAACATAGACTTGCCACAAGTCGACCTCGAAAGAAACGCGAGCGCGAGCGATGAAGTCGCTCGCGCGAGGCCGACTTGTCACACTTGCAGCGCGCCAAATTTTACTGACCCAAAAATGGGTTAGTAACGCTGACCTATATATATTGTGAGCTTCATTTGTTGATGATCTCTTCAACCAATCAGAGAAGCGTGAAAGGGACATGTCGACGTATTTATTAATAGACGTCCGCAAACAAGGTCTGCCGTTGATACTCTTTCAACTCTAAATAGCCGGTGTCCCAGGATTTTCGACCCCCCCCTTTAGGAAATTTGCCCCCCTTTAGAAACTTCACTATTTCTTTAGGATTTTCGTCCTCCGTTCAAAATTTCGCCCTTCCTAACAGTTGCATGGGATAATTATTACATGGCTTAATTTAATAATTTGAAATCAGTATCAATTCAAAAATTGTTACGACAGAGCTTGAAATAACAACCGATTACCGATCAATGATCGGCAAGGAATTGCTTATGATCGGCGGAAAAGCAGAGTTTGGTTTTCCAACCTGAAAAAAGCAGGGAAAGTCACGACTGCCGATCACCATGATCGGGAACTTTGGGAACGTTATTTCAAGCCCTGCATGTAAGAATACAAATCCCCCTACATTTTCCCCCCACATTTTCGCCCCCCCCCCTACATTTTCGCCCCCCGGGGC